TTTATTTATTTATTTATACAAGCACTGGGTATAGTCAGAAGCGCGGGAGGGTGAGAGAATTCACCAGAGCCAGAGCAGGGAACAGAACAGGCAGACCAACAAAATACACTGCTGAGGGGAGCACAGGCCAGGCAGGAGAGGTCTGTGTGCCATGTGGTACCCTTGCTGGCAGCCGGGGGTCAAACCTGCACTGCAGAGGCTGAGGGCAGCTTCTCAGCCCAGCGCTCAACAGCTGTGCCACCAGGGGAGGTCTGAAATCTTTGTAAATCTTAAGGCTTGGTTAACTCTCTATAGACGGTTCTATAGAACCTTCTCTAAAATAGTACCTGCTTACCATAGTGGTAAATCTCCAGGTAATTAGTATTGCTTATGGTGTGTTTTTTTGAAGTAGGTCATGATATAAATGATATTTATCTTTTTCCTTTTATTTCATAGCCTTTAAAAAATATTCAAAAATTATAGCTTAAAATATAAGATCATTATTTAGCCTAGTCTGGGTGTGTGAACATAGAAATTGAGCATCATCGATCTAAGCATGAAAAGTCTTTTTGGAGTTAAGTAGCTTTGAGATTTTAGAGCAAAAGAAGCAAGGGTGATGGTTGTGAAGCGGGGGGCTCCATGGATTTTTCAGACATAAAGAAACCTACTCTATTAACCCAAAACTTACTTGCAATATCCTGGAATATGTCAATTTAGCTAATAGGAATGTTAATTAGATCTCTTAAATTCTTACTTTAAGGAATGATTTTCTCCTTCATGGTTATAAAACGCTTTCTTGTATAGATTCCTGGGCTAGAGGTTATAAAGAGGGTATCAGTCATATAATACGGTTTAATTTCCCAGTGTTTATGATACTATGGTTTGATCAGATGCTTTCTTATGATTCTGCCATTATGGGTTTAAGTCTTTTGATCTTTATTATTCTATTTGCCTCTAGCAAGCAGTGGAAAAGTCCAGAGGGGATGAGACTAAAATGTAGCTCACTCTTCTTGTGAAGTTAAATCTCCAGTGGTCCTCACTCTCTAAAAGGGAGCATTCTTGGGCCTCTCTGGTGGCACAAGAGGTTAAGAACCGCACTATGAAACAATCCCCAGCTTCTGCAGCAGGAGTTCAATCCCCGGCCAGCCAGGGAGCAACCCACATGGCACAGCAGACCTTTCCTGACTTGCCCACTGCTCCGCTCAGCAGTGTACTTCGGCCAATCTGCCTGTTCTGTTCCCCACTTTGTGGTGAATCCTCTCACCCTCCGCATCTCTGGCCTATATGCCAGCTCTTGTATGCATAATTAAATAAATCTTAAAAAAAAAAATCGAGTATTCTTACCCAGTTTTTGTTTGGGAAGAAGCTTGCTGTGTAAACCTAGCATGGCTAAATTTAGCCCAGGAAAGTGTTTGGACACCTGGAGTTATTACAGCTCTTGAATTAAGTGTAAATTATTTTTCACAATTAGTAATAGTTATTATGAACAATTATGCAGAATGTCATATATTATGCCAGTAAGCATATATGTGGATCAATAAGTAAACTATTCTGCTAGGTGCTTCTATTTGGAACTACCCAATTTGCTTGGGCATTAAATAATCAAGGACACTTGTTGAACTGTGATTAATATGGGGTGTGGTTAATGACTTATAGATTTATAGGAAATGATGTTATTTTCTCCTTGAAGCTGGATAAGAAAAATCCTGTTCCTGGAGGAAGAATTTTAGAACACATTTCTTTCCCCTTGCCATACACACAGGATTTTGACTCAGAACATTTAGTTTTTCCCAGCTTCTGTTAAATATCCTTCATATGGCCAAATTGCATTTACATTTTGCTCTATAATCATAATGAAGATTTTCAAGCTTTCTACAACTTGATTCTGAAAGTTACAATCCAATAGGCAATATTTACATTCACGTACATTTACATTATGAGTGGAATCTTTTTCATACAGCACCATAATGAGTTAGGGTTACGTTTCTCAACTTTTCTTCCTATGCTGTTAGCCTTGTACCACTCCAGGAGAATGTTTCAATGACATCTTCATATTTTCATTCAAAACAATGTCTTATTTTTGTTTTCTTGGTATTTTGTGACTGTTTTCTTGCATAGCTGAGTTGGTGTCCTGTCTTCCTCTCTCTCCTCTTCTTTCCTTCCTTCTTAAGATTCTGAAGACCATTATTTAATTAGCTTGTAAGAAACAGAAACGTACCCTTTTTCATCATCTTATGATAGCTGTCAGATTCTTACCTAATTTACCTTTCATTTAGAAATTGTTCCATTGCTTTTTAAGTCATCACTTCCTATTTTATTTTAAAATGCTAACTGGTGGTTTTGTCCTCTCTGCAGTGTCCTATTTTCTTTATCGCTACCTGGATTTAAACTTCAAGTTCACCAAATGTCTCGTTCATTCTTTACTTTGCTGTGGCATTTCTCAGATGTCTTCCCTGTGTCCTCCATCTTCTGCTCTCATCTGGACTGGCTGCTTTTGATTTATTCTACATTACACACGTGATGACTTCCTTACACTGCTTTCCTAATTCAGAACTACTATTTCTAGGTGCGATATTCAGCAACGTACATGTAAATTATAACAATAGGCTCTTATTACAAATAAGTAAAGGGCAGATTTTAAATGCTTCCTGATTTCCATGTTGTAAGCACATAGCTGATATCAAGTTTCCCAGATGAAGTCAGTGAAGATCACAGAATTGGGAAGAGATGAACACAATTCAGTTCACGGTGCTATGTCAGACTTCACAGACTATTGATGAGAAAGACTTTGACAGGGATATTTCTAAAATATATTCATACTTTTTTCTGAATTAATAAAACAACCTGGATATCACTTAATTTCATTTGGTGGTTCTGAATCATTATTATTTATATAAAGCTTTAAGGCAAAAGGTGATGTGTTTAGTAATTATGACTTTTAGAGAGAAGATATTTGGCTGCAAACTAAACAACTAAACAGCTTAACATGGAATTAGATAAAAGAACTATGCAAAAATCCAATATAGTAGTTTGTTTATTTTTGAAGGGTTTTTTGTTGTTAGTAGATTTTTTAAAAACATAATACTCAAATCTAGTCCTTATCGCTGCCTCTTATCTGATACTTGATATGATCTCCTTCCTAATTATTTTATGACCTTTCATTTGTGCTCTTATTTCAAGGCCTCCTAAATTCATTTTTCAGTAAGTTAGCAGAGAGTAAATGTCAATAAATAAATATATGTAGGGGTTTCAATAAAGAATGCAGATTTTCTAATAAGTGGCATTAATTTGGTGTTTCTCTTTCATTATGTGTGTTTTCTTTAATATCATAAAAGAGAGTGCTATCCATGCATGTTCTGACAGAAAAGAAAATGGGTTTTTCTCTGTTTGAAAAGTTCACTTTAAAGGTTTTTGTGATGCTCGACAGCTTTAAATTAGACTTGCTTTTCAGAATGAATTGCCTGCAGCTGCTCTTCAGGATTACTTTTTTTTTTTTTTTTCTGAGTACAACCATCCTATTTGGACATAAAAAAAAAAAAAAAAAAATCCTGCACATTTACATCTCCGATGGGCCAATAAATAAAATGCTACATTTTTAGGGGTGGGTTCCTGGGACCTAATTAGAGTCACATCTGAGGCAAACAGGGCATTGAAAACCCGGTGCTGTTCTTACATTACTCTGATTATTTTGTGTTTTTGCTATTCTGTGCATCTGCCCATTTGTGAGAACAGGGGATGGTGACAAATTATTTGATGATAAGGAAATACCCATGAAATGATGTTTTTCTGGTGTGGTTGTCTTCAGGCATTTGCTCTTTTTTCTTTTCCTTCACAGCTTGCTGAGATAAATCTTAACCAAGGGAGACTCAATTTTACTGAAAGGAGGAGATTTCTTTATGTCCAAGGAAATTAAAGCTATTCAGGCATACACCTGCCATGTAACTAAAAAAATACATAGGGTGCCATTTTCTTCTCAAATCTGCAGCTTCAAATGCCAAAATACAGCTCTTCGTTGACTCATTTTATATGAATTACTATTTTATGAGTAAATCCATAAAAAAGCTTGAAATGCATAAGATTAGTATCCAAATGCAGCAGGTGGAATTATATTTTTTTGGTATAAAATACAATCAATATAATTTGTTCTTGATAATAACAGCCTTGGCATTGACTGGACTATATGAAATTCATGTTTTATCATAAATGGATTAGCCATATATTTTAATGTGTCTTAGAATTGTTTAAAAATTTAGTCATATATAATAAATAAAATATAATAAACTCTGGCATATCTATAATTCGTATGGCCCCATAACTTTTATTTGGGTATTTAAAAAGGATTTTACCTAAACTAAGATGAACTCATATGAATATATGAGCTCAATAAAACAGAATTCAAAGGAGCTATTCAATTCTAGTTTTACATCAATGTCTGGAGCCCAGAGTAAGTAAATAAGTAAACTTTCTTTTGAAAAAGTGGTTATTCATTATCATCAGTGACAGTCTAATGAAAGGAAATAAACAGAATAAAATATTTCAAAATTTGCTTCACTTAGGAAAGCAGGGATGAATAGGAATTTTTTTTTCCAAAATGATACTAGTTTTAACATTGCAAAATGGCTTATTGCTCCAAATATGTTATATTGAGTCAATCATTTTACTAGAAATAATGATGAATTAATATCATAAATTATGGTATCATAAACTATCTGTCCAGATTTATACCATAGGGAATGATTTAAGTAATATGTGTTTAACTCTTCAAATGGGTTTAAAAATTTATTTATACTGAAGTCATGTTTAAAATCTATTTGTATTTAAATCCATAACATTCCTTTTTAGTACAGTTTCTGAGAAAAGATGCAAAAAAAGTACATGAAATACATACCACAATTCTAGTGATAATGTTGTCCATAAATATGATGAAATTAAATATGCAGACCTCTCCAGTGAAATAAAGGTTGAAATGATATGATTGTGCTTGGATTAGATGCTAATAGACTCTCTTTGCTTTGTTGTAGCTCTCAGCATTAGAGAGACAGATCTTCGACTTTCTTGGCTTCCAGTGGGCACCTATTCTGGGAAATTTTCTACATATAATTGTCGTCATACTGGGCTTGTTTGGGACTATTCAGTACAGACCTCGATATATCGTGGTGGTAAGTTTATTTTTATCTCTGTACATAATTGAAAAATTGCCTAGAGACTATTAATGAAGTTATTTGAGTGGGTTTCTCTGATAAGATATGGCAATGCTGTTCTAACTTTCCCATATTGAATTCTGTCAAGAGACAATTATCTGTAGGGCCTCCCTGGTGGCACAGAGGGTTGAGTGCAGCGCTGTGAAGCTGACTCTAGCCTCTGAAGCTCTGGTTCGATTCCCGGCTGGCCAGGGAGAATCCCACATGGCGAGGCAGACCTCTCCTGTCTCGCCTGCTGCTTGGGTCGGTCTGCCTGTTTTGCTCCCTGCCCTGTTCTGGTGAATCCTCTCACCCTCCCACGACTCTGGCCTGTACCCCAGCTCTTGTATAAATAAAAAATATATCTTTAAAAAAAAGAGACAATTATCTGTGGATAAAAGACTAAGTGAATATTATGAACAGTAAATACAAGTGATAGGACCAACATGGTGTGAGTCAGTGTAACTCGATTCAGGTTACACTAAGAAATTTAAAATAAGGTTTGGATAGAGTATGAGATCTTGATGTTATTTGATGGAAATAAGGGGACATTGACTGTCATTTCAATGATATGTCACTAACCCTTAAAAACAAACCCACCTCACTATAACTGTTTACTAACTGATAACAATAATTTAATTTTAGTTGATGTAGGACATTATAAATGCATGTGCTGGAGGTAATTGAGTACTCATCTCTAATGCATTTCATATGGAATATTAGTGAACATGTCCCCATTTTGTTATGATAAATTAGGAACATAGCAACTCTCCTGTGTGCCTGTGACTATGCAGGTTCCTTCCCTTTTCTCCTTTTCCTAAATAAAGATGTTCTTTGAAAATGTAAAAAAAAAATGGGGGACATAAATCCATACTCCAAACTATGCAAAACATGGAAGCACATCCTCCATTGCAGAACAATTTAATGAAGTTTCTACTGTGCTCTAACCTAAGGAGGTTGAGAGAAATAAAGTACATATATAAGTCATTGTAAATAGGAGTAACATACTCTTAAATGTTCAGTGAGCCTGAATGAATATACAGTGTTCGTAGAATTAGTGAATATTTTCTTGCAATGCGGTGTCATTGACTCATTAGAAATAAACCATAGATGTTAAAAGTATCCCATTTTTCAATTTTGATTTAATCCAATCATATTTATCAAAAAGAATAAAGTTATATTTTTTTGTAAATGCATCAATTCTCTATTTGGTACCTCAAAATTGATTTTTTTAGTATCTTTCATCTTATCACGGAGGAGAAGGTAACTGGCCCACATCACAGCCGGTACTGCCAGGGGGCACAGGGGAACATGGGATGGCACTCAGATGGCTGCAGGGGCACTCCAATTGCTGCTTTACTCTTCTCTGAAAAATAGCCTCTGCTAAACCACCAGATAATTTACTGGAAAGCTGTTTCATAGAATCAGAATTGCAGCATAGAATGTTTTAATATTATACACAATATAAAATTATTTTTGTATTCTATATTCTAGTTTACTGCTATGAACACAGAAGTCACTATAGACTTCTTAAGAAGTCACTATAGACTTCTTAAAGTCACTATAGACTTCTTAAAGTCACTATAGATTAGTGTTCTGCTGAAGCACAAAGTGCTACATGGGTGTGAAAACAGTGGCTTCTATGGAATGAAGTCGTTGGTATGTATTAGATATGTTACCTAGCACCATCGCTTTTGCTCCCTAAGTATTGCTTCTGCAAAGTCTGCACACAACTACTGCCTTGATTGAGGCTTCTATAATCCCTTTCCTGTCATGCTTGCTAGCTTTCAGCTTTCCTACCTTCCTATGTGTCCTTTGCAATTTTCCTAAATTACTGGCATAAAATCTTTCACTCACACTTAGGACAAAATCTAAGACTATTCTTAGCTGACCCACCGGACCAAACTCAAGTCCCTGTCACCCATCCTCACTCCCTCCTTCCCTCCTTCCTTCCCTCCTTTCCTACCTTGGTTCCTCTCTCCTTTTTCCCCTTCTTTCTCAACATCCGTTCTCCCTTTTTGCATCCACTTACTCATTGAAACATTGTTTTTCAAGTTTCTGTTCTGTACTGATCATTTTGTTTGGTATAGGTACATCCGTGAGCAAACACAAACACATATATTCTGTCCCATTATCAAGTAATCACCTAAATGTCAAATTTCAACTGGGACAAGTGTAACACAGGAGCACATATGCCATAAGATGTATAATGGGGAGATCAGTCTGACCCTGCAGACGGGGCTGTGGAGCTGAGGTCTGCACTTATGAGTTTGCTCACCAGGGAAGACAGGATGATGGGGATTCTGGGCAGAAAGCTTTGCAGGACACACAGTAGGATGTCAGAGCAGTTGTCCCTATCCATTCATTAAGCATCTACTGATAACCTGCTTCACTATATTAGGGACTGATAAATAAAAAAGAAGATAAACTACAGTGTCTGCTTTTGAGGAACTCATTAGACAATGAGTGGGGAGACAGGGTTCAGGGGACTCCAAACGTAATGAAATGACTGTAAAAGAAGAATGAGACAGCTATGGGCCAGAGACCTGGGAGAACATGAGTCAACTTCAGAGACTAAAAAAGCAGAGAGTTTGTGATTCAGATTCATGAATCCAAAATACTTCAGTTGTTCCACCCCAATGACTTATTTTCATAAAAAGCTGTGTTTTAAAGCTACTTTTTTTGGCTTTAGATTAATCCTGGTCTGTGTCTTACCCCCTCTGTCTCTACCTGCCTCTCCAGCACCTCCCGCTTGTAGCCTTCCCTAGGGGTCGGTGCCCAGCTCTAGCAACATGTCTGACCCTGACAGCCTTCCTTCCATACGTTTTCACAGTCAACCACACCCTGCTTCTTTGCCTTTGTGTCTTGAGCATGTTTTAAAATACGTTCACATTTGTGTCTCCCCTACTGAACAAAGAGTTCTTTGAAGACTTCAAATGTAATAGGTGCTCAATAAGTACTTGCAGTTTTTCCCCATGTAGATCCCTATTGTTTCAAAGTTCACTCACGGTAGGACTAACCTCACTTCTTTCTCTGGTATCCTTTCCTCTGCTTTCTTCTCTCTGCTCCCTCTTTGTGTTGAAAGAAGTTGCTTTAGGTCTTTAGGAATCTTCAAGAAAAATATCTACTAGATACTCTAAGTTTTTGCTCTTGATTTTCTCTTTTAATGTGTATGCCATCCAAATCTCTGTCACTTTAGTTGCTATCTGTCATTTTATTTGCTATCTTATTCAATACCCTCTCCAAGAGGAGAGAAAGAAAACAATGAACTGGCAGGAGAGCCCTCTGTGCCAGATATATCTTTTGGCTTAGTCATCATGTACCTCTGAGTATACATTCACACCCCACATTTTATAGCAAGGAAAGTGTTAAGTGACTTTTCAAAGTGCCCAGATAGTAAGTGCTCACCTCACCTCTGATATTATTAGGTTTATGAAGTTGCTTTAGCACCATCTATGTTCTGCTTCCATCACCAGATTCCAGATGTTTTGATGCCATTGTCATTTTAAATATTGATATTAGAAATGATTTGTCATACTTTCTTAGCTGGTCAGAGAATACTGTTATCAATGAGGGATACCAGGGTACCTCTTGTTCTAACAAACTGTATATTTGGGGAGGAATGACTGAAGTATTATTATTTTTTTTATAAACTTATTTTTTTTAATATTTATTTATTTATTTATACAAGCACTGGGTACAGTCAGAAGCACGGGAGGGTGAGAGAATTCACCAGAGCCAGAGCGGGGAACAGACAGGCAGACTAATGAAGAAATACACTGCTGAGGGGAGCAGTGGGCACAGCAGGAGAGGTCTGTGTGCCATGTGGGACCCTCAACGGCGGCCAGGGATCGAACCGGCGCTGCAGAGCCTGCGGGCAGCTTCGCAGCCCAGTGCTCAACTTCTGCGCCACCAGGGGCGGCCCTACTGAAGTATTATTGATTCATGAATCTGAATCACATTGTTATTGGGAAGGCAGTTACACAGTATTATCTTTGCCACACCACAGGTTGCTCATCTCTGAATTATTTTCATAAATGCTGAGGTTTAAAGCTACTTTTGTTGGCTTGAGATTAATTCTGGGATGAAAATGCCTGAAAATGAATTACTGTGTTGGTGGGGAGAGTAGCTTTTATACTAATTTAAGAATATGCAGATTATGGCCTCCTAATGAAGAGGAACAAGCACCCACCTGGAGTCAACAGGAAGCTCCCTCAGCACCTGAGCTACCACTTTGGGGAAGGGACAACCCCTTGGATTGAAGGCACACTTTCAATCTATTTACATAAAGGAAATAAAGTCACAAGATTTTTTACTTACAGATCCCAGAATTCTGGGGAGTATGGAGAGGGTGAGGGGTACACATTAAGGCTGGGGAAGAGCCATCCCCTCCGTCACAGGTCAGGAGCAAGCAGGAGGTAACAGAGCATCAGCACTTATTGCTTATAAAGTGGTTGAGTGGAGTCACTATCTTCCCACAAGTCTAACATACCTTCTGGCAAATAATAATAATAATAATAATAATATGAATTGGCCCCTGAAGTAATACTTGTAATTTCAATCTGTAGCCTTAATAATAAAGAATAATATGGTTTTGCAATTAATTCAGTTCATTGTCTTACCTTAGTCTCCTTTATGTTATTTCCTTAACTTTTATCAATGGGTTTCTCATGAATTGATAGCTTGCATTACTCTCTCTTTCAAATATAGTTTTAATTATATTTATTTATAATAAAAAATCAGACACCAAATGCCATCTTTTTAGTAACAGCTTCAAAATTTATTATGATTATTTTCTGCAAAAAGAATCAGAAAAGTGTGTTTCAGTGCATTTGTCTCATTTTCAAAACCCACTTAATTCTACTCATAGTAGAGTCTTTAATAATGAATGATAGCCAGACCCTACAATATCTGCAAATACCAAAAGCCCATGGAAAGTTTAACTCCTGCTAAATTTTTAACATATTTTCCAACTCTCCAGTGGTTCTGGAATCTTATTGTTGTAATTGCATTATTATTTTAATAAACACAGCAAATCCTACTCTCCAACACAAAACAAACAAAAAAAGATATATGAGATAACATCAAATGTAAGCAATTATAGAACCATACATGAGATTATTTGGAAAGTCCTTAAGTAATCATAAATGACAGAGCCACAAAGTTCAATTTTACAAGTAGCTTCTCATAAGGTTCTAATAGGAACTTGGCTACTTTGCACAGTGTTTAAAATTCATTCTACTATTTGACACAGTATAGAATGAAATAATGAATTATTTCAACATTTATTTTAACAATAGCATGTGACACTTAAAATCAGTGATAAAAAGCAATAGTTTATAATTAGTATGCTCAGCTAAGAAATTAAGAATTCATAGATTTTTGTACTAAGGAAAATGAACGAACAAACCATTGTATTTGACCTGTTAATTGTGTTCCCAACAGTAAGTACTTTTCTTTCCTTCTTCCTTGTCCAAGCTATTCTCTGAGTCTCAGTTTCTTCATCTGTGTAAGAAAGTAACTAGATGTCTTGAAACCTAAGATGAATCTTTTGGTGAATCTTGGTTTAAGGCTTCCTTAATTCAGACTGACTAAAATCGCTACAGGAAGGCATTTCCTGATACATATTATGTTAAAAAAAATTAATTAGTAATGCTAACACCCTTAGTTTGTTGGATGTCACCGGAAGGTATTTTCTTGTTATGGAAATCTATCATTTATTTACTCATTCCTATTCTTATATATCAATTTCTGTGCTTTAAAATATTTAACATAATCATATTATTCTATATGGCTAATTGTATATACATCTTGTCAAAAATAGTCTAACAGATGAAAGTTTGTTAATTTTACTCCAAACGTCCATTTTCAAACATGATCTTCATTCAGGGATATGGTCAGGGATATGGAAGTGCATTGTTGTGACTAACATTTCTAAACACTTTATAATTTCATACTTTAATGAGAGAAAAGGAAGGGAGGGAGGGAGGGAAGGGGGAAGTCTAGCCCACTGAAAGTGGACATACCTATGTTCTCTGGGAAAAATAACACTCAGAAAACAGAAATCAAATCAGCATTTGGATTTCACTTGTATTTGCAAGCCAGTAAAGCACTTTAAAAATAAATCTAGCTTTATTGGCATCTAATCTAAGCAGTAGAAACTATTGGATTTTTAATTTCTAGAGATCTTAGGGGACTTCATAAGGAGCACTCTTGTCTGAGTGCTCCATTTCTTCCCAGAAGACTTAGACTTATTGACTTTTTAACTATTGATTTATTTAGTATACATGCCTTTCAACTCCACATTTTTGTCTTTTTTTCCCTCCCTCCCCTTTTCTCTCTAGTATACAGTATGGACTGCTCTCTGGGTCACCTGGAATGTGTTCATTATCTGCTTTTATTTGGAAGTAGGTGGACTCTCTAAGGTAAGTTTATCCTGCTTTTAAAATACACTTTTAAAAGAGTACACTAATAAATAATTATGACACACATCATATATACATATGTGTAGATAGATAGATAGATACAGATAATTATCAAAGTAACATAAATAGAATACTAATCAAAAGCTTGGGTACCATTCAGGAAAGAATGATCTTAGGAATATGTAAATATAATGACTCCAAAACAATGGTCTTACAGTCTCACTTGGTAAGCTGTAGTAGAACTCAGTTTCAAGGATCTTTATTTCCAATTTAAAAAGATTCAATGTAACAATAACCTCAGCCCTAAATCTTAGATAAAAATTTTTTTTAAAAAAGGAAAATGATATTGAGCATTCTTGAGTTCAGAATGCTTGAGTTCAGAATGGGACTGCTTGAGTTCAGAATCTCTGATGTTACTGTAATAGTTATGAGACTCTCTTTGCTCAAATATTACTTCTGGAGAACAGAAGTTTGGCAAGGAATAATCACCTGTGTATTTAAGTGGAACATACATTTTTCTAGGAACTAAATATATCTATATGGTGATGCTTATTTTGAAATCCTGATCAGATTGAAGAGAGTTGTCCTAATGCAACATGATATGTTATTTCTCTCCATATGACTAATGTCAGCACAACACACAATTTTCATTATAACTTCTGTAGAATCCTCTTTGCCACCCAAATGTAAGAACATCTTGGATTAAGTTTCTAGTTGTGTTTCTTTAACATTTTTCTCATAAACCAGCACAATTTTCACCTGGAGAATTTGTAGAGAAGAAACTTGACAGTGTAATTACAAAATTAATTAAAAACCATTATTATTTTTTAGAATTTCTCATTATCCACTATATTTGTGCTAACATATTTCATTGTGTGAGAGTAAAGTTCCTAAGTAGACTAGTCTTCTACTAGTATCGGTGGTTTCAATCTTAGAAAAATCTGCCTTGACCAGCACAAATACCTTTAAGAATTGTCAAACTTCACTGACGTCCATGTGGTAACAAAGAATTATTGATTTAGCCAAGCAACAAAAATCCCTAAAGGATTTTCTTCAGAACCTCCAGAGGTGGTTACTCTTTGTTCTACACTATAATAACTTTGTAATTAGAACTTGCCATCATTTTCTCACATTGACAAATGCATTCAGCAACTTGAAATGGCATTTCTAAGTCCCATACAAATGCACTAACTTCTACCTTTAATATGTGTGCTATTAATCGCATTTTACCATTAATTTCTATGACAGAAAAAAAGTACTTAAATCAGCGCCCACTTATCTTCAGTAACATGCAGATTATAAAGCAATTTTAAAATGCAAATCTTATGAATAAAATAATTATGAATAATAAGCATAACGTTTTTAACCCCCCTAACATTTTGTGTCTTGTGATTTGAATGGTCACTTTAAGTCATACTTTTATTTCACCAGTTTACTGGATGGAAGTTATCTTTTTTTTCCCCCATTTGAACTTAGAACATATTAGACTAAAGGAAATTTGACCTATGGAATTCTCATCATAGTTTGCTGAAAGAAAATGGGATTCCAAATTATACATTTTATTCAAATCCTGTCTTTAGCACTTAATGATGAGCCCTTAAGCAAATCATTTAATCCCTCTGAGTCATTGTGAAATATAAAAACAGGACCAGCTTTGCCAATGATTATAATGAGTTCTGGTTCTGTGTGTAGCATTGTTTTAAGCACATCATATTGACAACTCAGGTAAGCCTGAGTTTATAAAAATTTTATATTTTTTTATAAAAAGTAGTAATACCAATAGTCATGTGTTCCATGAGTCTGATTTCCCTCAACTGTTCAAGGTTACTTGTGAATTGCTTTTTTGTAACTGTTTTTCTAATATAATATCAAGGACTTTTTTTCCTCATTTCCTTGGGTGCAAGATTTTTTAAAAATGGATATAAAAGTTCTGCTTGTTCATTTGTCACCCACTCAAATGCCATTAATCAGTCACCCAAGTATTCTAGGTCATTAAAAGAAAGATGACTTCCAAGGAGCATCCTAAAGATGTCTGCTGTCTCTTTCTATTTACTACTGGAAAGTCTGGGACTATCTCCCTGTTCATTCACAGTGTAGCCTCAATACTAGCCTGTAGGAGATCTGATAAATAGAGCAGAGATAAGGACTCTTGATAACCCAAGCACCTCTGCTGTCTTTCCAAGTTGGACTTCTTTTCATAAGCAATTCCTTATTCATACATGCTGGTTTGTTTCCTAACTTTCAAAAACTCCATCTCCTACTGGTTCATGAAGTCATTTGTTGGAATGACCCATGAGGTAGATTAATAAGGTTTCCTTGTATCTTGATTTTTGCCCAAAACATCCATTCTAAAAGATAGAAACTCCAAAAACCATTTTCAGATTAATTTTCATAAGATCTCTGTGGACATAGGTGTTATTTTAATAACAGGCACTGTTATCCTTCCTTTTTAATTGAGGATGCACATTTTCCTGGGCAACCACACATCTCACCTGTTACAGGGACTGTTAATCTCAGCTGCTGGATTTTCCTTTGCTGTTATCTCCTCTTCTGTGTCATAAGTTTTCTACTGATGTCTAGAGTGTCCTCATTTTCCTCAGATTTTCCAGAACCTGTAAGAAATGGACATAATGCTCTTAAGAAATGTGTACATGTATGGTAGGGTCAGAGATGACTGTGAATAGGTAACTAAAGTTATCTGCACTGACTAATATACTAGAACCTCAGTTTCCTTTTCTATAAAATGAGAAAAGCCATGGTACACCACTCACAGGATTGTTGAGAGTTAAATAAGATGGTGCATATAAAGGACTTAGATGAGAACTTGGCATACTGTGAGGTTTCAGCAGATAATGGTTCTCATAATTGTCATCAACATCATCATCTTTATTATCATTGAAGAAATTAACAGGCATCACAGTCTTCAATCTGAAAACCTTTGGGACATACATTTATTACTGTGCAAGAGCTATAAAAGGGGTGAAAACGTAGGACTGAGTGACTTGTTTAAAAAAATATGTAACAATCCCTTGTGATAGAACCTTGAATCTGCATATTAACTTCACAGCTGCAACACTATTAATTAAATCCTTTCCTTCAATGTATAAATAGCTTTTTGAAATACTTTTGCATCCAGATTCTCCTGCTGTCCTTACTGCTCCCCCTAGGAGGACTTTATGCATCTCTGGCAGTCTCTAAGGTGGTTTTTCATGCTGCACTTTAAGATCACCAAGGGCACAATTAATAAGTTATTGCTGCTTCTTTGGAAATTGCAGGACTTGAAATCATTTTCCTCCCTAGGAAGGCACTCAGAATGTAAATATGAAAACCCAATTCATTTACTGCATTTAAAGATACCGAAAAATCAGTTATGTTGAGAATAACAGGTAATACTTGTTTTTATTCCAAAGGAATTAAACTGATATCTTTTTGATTACTCCAAATAGTAGAAAATTTCAGCTAATATTTCTCCTAACTGAATTTTCTTGAGAGATGTGTGAAAATTACACCTCAGTGATACTAAAGAATTTTAGCATGTTACATTTTCAGAAAATATGATATGTGACTATACATGAGCATAATTTAGACTTAGCAAATGAATGCGAAGAAATTCTAGGAATAATTCTTATATTTATCATGAGTTTTGATCAGGCACCTTTTAAAAATATATAGGTAGAGAGCAGGGGTGTGCGATGAACCAACCTTTACTGCTCCCTACTCTGTATAGGTGCTTTGCATTGTCTTCACACAAAAGGAAAACCTACTTTTGTTTGTTTCTCTGCATCATGTTTTAACCACTGCACTTCTTCCATAGTGACCTGATTGATGGGAATTTGATTCTCAAAGAAATTTAAGCCATTTTCCCAAATGGCAATAATAGCATTTTCTGTCCTCTTTTGACTTAAATTGTCACCATCTTTCATAGGGTCCTCTCTCTTGTGAGACTTCTCAGTTGAATATTTTACCTGAGCCGCCAGACAGGGTCAATGAGATCATTCTTTTTCAGGGCTCATCCTTATTGCCTTGCCTGAATTGTTTCTCTGTGCCGGCTGGGAAAATTCCCTTTCTTGATCAAGATTCATTGTCCTTCAAGGTCAGATTCTTTCCACTAACTTTGACTTTGGGCAGTCACTCTCAAGTAGGAAACTTGGAGACAGTTGATTTTGAGTTCTGATTGGGAGCAATTGCACAGGAAACAAACAGAACTTTCAGTTCCCTTCAGAACTTTCAGCCCAGCCATTATTTTTTTTATAAACTCTCTAAATATTGTTGTGTCTGACGGTACTTTCAAGTGAAATCAATGATCTGTAACATATTTCCTTTTCCACTTAAGCAGACACAACTTGCTGAGTCTAGTAGAGAGTTTTAAATTGATTTTATTTAAACACTGTTTTAAGCTTTATTTATTTATGCATACAAGAACTGAGGTATAGGCCAGAGGTGTGGGAGATGACAGGAGTCACCAGAGACAGAGTGGGGAGCAGAACAGGCAGATCCACTGAAATACATTGCTGAGGGGAGCAGTGGGCATGTCAGGAGAGGTCTGCTGTGCCATGTGGGCAGCTCCCCTGCTGGGATTGAACTCGGGCTGCAGTGGCTGCAAATAGCTTCATAGGTTACGTCTTAAGCCCTTCACCACTAGGGAGGCCCTATTTTAAACATTTTCAACCTATTTTTTTTTTTCATTCTCACATAGAAGGACTGGATTGTAGGCCAGAGGTGCAGGGAGAGAAGATTCACCGGAGACAGAGTGGAGAGCAGAACAGGTAGATCTCCTGAAATACATTGCTGAGGGGAGCAGCAGGCAAGACAGAAGAAGTCTACTGCGCCAAATGTGGGTTAGCTCCCTGGCCAGGGATCAAACTCAGGCCATAGTGGTGATAGTGCTGAGACTTAACCCCTAAGCCACCAGAGAGGCCAAAGAGTTTTAAATTTAAAATGATCCTTTCCTCTCGAAGATCCCTTCCTACTTGGATACTCTTCAGCGGAATCTTGCAATG